CTCTTAGGCTTGCCTGCTGCTCACAAGGGGTAGGAACTCCTGTCCCTAATAAACCACCATGGGCATCTATCCTACCTCATTAATGGCTAACGCTACAAGCCCTCCATAGTTGTGCCTTATGCCCACAGCTACAACATTTCCTGACTCCATCCTGGACATAGCCCATCAAACTCGGGTGATTCATGCCATCACAAAACATGCCCCATCAGTCCCTACTCCCACTAGGGTCATCATATCACTGTACTTATAATTTTACATGCTCCCATAAAGCCCTTAAATGGCCCAAAACCCCAAGAAAATCAAGGTTCCATGAGTAAATGGAATCGAGCCTTCACCAACATGGAATCTAGATTCTTTTACAATGAGACTGAGGATTACCAACACATTTCGAGATCCTTTTACAATGGGACCGTGGATCACCAACACATTTGAGCTGTCGACATTGTTTTTTAAGCTATGAGTTAATGACAATTTGGCACAGATTCCCTACTATGGAGGTTTTTATGACCTACAATCTATCTAAAGACGTTTGATTGTTATATTTTTACATACCTTGTGATAAGTTTTAAAACCTGAGGTCTGAATCCTCGTTTGGTTGCTGTTTGCCTATTGCTTAATTAATTAGTATATAAAGTTATGAAACATAATCATAGGATTAACAAAAAAATTAAAAAGTTTTTTAAAGATGGGAATTTTTGCATTTAATGATACTTTAAAATCAGAAAATTCAGTCAAGTTGTGGAATGGATTTTATTCCTGAGCTAGAGTACCCTAGTTAAGTGCTCTTGGGGGCCTCAAGTTTAAGCCGGACGGATCTCTATCCCGTGTACTTTATAGTTCGATCCTGAAAACTTTGGATCATGCTCCCTGTCACATTGGGACCTGGATCCCTTCATCTCAAGGTATACAGATCTCGATCCTTATCCTAGGGATCTTCATGATTGTTTCGATCTCACAACCTGATCCTGGTCAGGGATTTGATCCTGCTTCCATTCCCAATCATGTGACTGGTTTTGGCAGAGTCAGGAACTTGGTTTACTGAGAAGAATGGATAATCCACTAGGTACACTTAACAAAGGGTGCCTGGAAGTGCTTGAGGAACCTGCTGAGATGCCGTCTCAGAACGAGATTCCTGAGACATTACCAAAGAAGCTGCTATGACCTAAGTCTGAAAGTGGTTTACTTTTGAAGGACTCTTGATACTAGAACTTGAGGAGGAACTGGGTGTAATGCTCCCCAAGCGGGCTGCATTTGCTGAAGAAAAACTTGTATCAAGTTTATAACATCCATGGTGAATCAGCAAGTGACTGAGTTTCTAGCAACAGTATCTCGTTCAAGCAGATTTTGTACTGAATTCTGAGGCAATATACTGAGTTTATTATGAGAATATATAGACCAGATTGGAGTCGAACTTGAATTGGAGATTAAGACAAGGGTGAGCAAGGCTGTCTATGGATTTTCTCACATTTTTTTTCACAAAATATATTCCCAAATGAAACCCATGATGCCGGTACAGTTTTGAACGAAACCCCAAAATGCTGAAATATTGATCTACAATAGCCGGTTTGAGAAAATCCACTAAACTCTTAAGAACACATACACACTTGAAACTGCCTTGACGTGGCTTTGAAAATCCCCGATATGTATGTGGATAAATTTGGAGAACTAGAAAAGAAAATCCTTAAAACAAATCAAGACTTTAGAATGATTATATGGAACCCTATGGACAATTTTACAGACTAAGGTATCGATCGCTATAATAGGGCTATTCCTAGACTACTGTGACAACTACGCTAGTTCCTATAATACTAATAGTGATGTAGGAAAGTTGATAGAGAACAGTAAAATCAGCAAACTTTCAAGCCAAGCATAAGCTGTAAATAGAAGAAGCCCAGGGTTCTTTAAGCACAACTAGGACTCCAAAAGGCTTACGGTCTCTCTTTTTCAAACTGAAAAGTTGCGTGAATTGCTCTTCCTAGATCTGCACACCTCTTAAATATTATTATTTAATGTTCAAAGACATTAAGTGTCCAAACAATACATAAAATGACTCAAAAGTCCTAACTTAAATGACTTTTAAAATAAATGGCTTGGCTAAAAACAAAATATTCCATAATCACTTTGACTACATTATTAAACAACTCTTAAAATTCTAAAAATAGAAAAAACAAAAAACCCTAGAATACCTATAAAAAACTTAAAAACCCTAAAAAATCCTAAAATTTCCAAAAATACCACCCTAAAATTTAATAAGATAAATTAAGAAAATAGAGGCATCTTGTCTTTCATCAATCTCCTCTGGTTGGAAAAAACTCTTCATTGAGTTTTAAATTGTGTTGAGATGACATCAGCATCAAAACCACCTTCTTCAACCTTCATCTTGTTTGTTGGCTCATAGATTATTTGTCATAAGAAGAAATCCTCAAGAAATTAATTGTGATATGTATATTGAGGAATCGATATAAATTTATCAGATTCAAATATCCTTAAACTCGCATTGAAAATTGCATAGAAAACTCCAGGCTTATTTTCCATCCTTTAGAGGCTTTTTTGATATCCACTTCGTTACTTTATGAATCAAGGGCCACAATTTGTAGCTTATGAGTCGACCACACTTCCATTGTGTTACTCTGATTCCCAAATTCACCTATTGATTCGTTGCTCGAACTAGTAACCTCACCTATTGATTCTCCTTGGAGTTCTTCATCTTGTTGTTCTACACATATATCACCCACCGAATCATCAAAGATTGGATCACTATCAAACACAAGATCACTAACTCTATCCAAAGGTTCCTCATCAAAGATTGGATCACCCATGAGATCATGACGATCATTAAGGGTTTGGGGAAGAAATTCCCTTTTATTTTAGGAACTTATTCATAATTAAAAACCCTCTCTATGGTGTTTAACCAAATTCCCCATGTTGAGGCTTATTATCAAAATCAGGTGTATTTACCTTCATAACATCCTTGAGTGATGAACTCCACATCTAGGCCTTCTGTTGCTATCCTTACACTTGGCTCCACACTCCGAGTGCGACGGTGGGAAGAGTTATACTCAAGATCTTCTTGGGCCGAAAGTTCACCGTTTTACCCACGATTGATACTCGCGAACTGCGGTGCCAATTGCTAATTGATACTCTCTTCATCTCTGGGAGCACGAAGCAGGTATCCCCCTTTGTGATGCCTTCTCGCTGCCATGGTTCTCGAAACCGTAAACTCTAGGCAGTGAATAACGAAACCTCGTTGAAATCAGCAAGATGTAGGCTGAGTTTGGCAAACAGCAAGCTGAAATCAGGAATATTTGGCTGAAATCAGCAAACCTTGGCCCAAAATCAGCAAGCCCTAAACTTGGCTGTAGTTTCATGATCTTGCTGTTGAAGAAACTTGAGCTCAAATACCAAATTGGTGTAGGAAAATTGATGGAGAACAGTAAAATCGGGAAACTTTCAGGCCAAACATATTATTTTGAATTATAAAATATTGGCATGCCACATAATTAGCAAAAGGGGAGGCACGCCCCATGGTTTTGCTATTTGATTTGGTTCAAGTTTTAAATTTGATTTAGTTAATGTAGGAAATCTAATTTAAATTAGATTTGGTTTCCTATCCTTATGGGAGATCTAGATAATGTTTAAGTTCTGTTGTGTTTCAAATTTAAATGGGAGATCTAGATAATGTTTAAATTTGATTATATTTCAATTTATATAGGATTTGGATTGGGTCAAAGTATCCTAGGTTAATAGCCTAATCTTTCAGTCTTTTTCAATGGAAAGTCCCGTGAATGGCTGTCTGTGGCATGCTCCTCTTCGATATTATTATTTAATGTTCAAAGACATTAAGTGTCCATACAATTAATAAAATGGCCCAAAATCCTAATGTAAGTTACTTTTAACCAAAATGATCTTGACTGCAAATAAAATATTCCTTAAGCACTTTGACTATTTTTCTAAACAATTCAAAAATCATAAAAATATAAAAAACCTTAGGATCCCTGAAAGAAACTTAAAAACCCTGGAAAATTCCAAAATTACAACCCTAAAATTTAATAAGGAAAAATAAAAAATGGGAGGCTTGTTGTTCTGCATCAAAGATTCTCCACTACAGTGATTGCAATAGTTTTGCTACACTGATCACTGCAGTTTCAGTTTAGTAATGCGACAGTACAGTTGCTCGCAAATCTAATGTTTTGAATAGTAAGCGCCGTCAAATTTTTCATTCAAAGTCAAATATTAGTTTCCCGCAGAGTACTTACTGGTTTTTGTTGTGGTGGACTTAATTGCACAACAATTCTGTCAGTTTCAGATTTCTGATTCAAGCCTACCTCTAATACCTCCTTAGATTCATGAAAATTTGGGGAGAATTCTCCTTGATTAGAATTAGGGATTAATCCCATATAATAGATGGCTGGGTTGCTGTACATAAGTACCCTTACACTAATATGGCAAGACTACCTTTAAACTAATTAACAAATACACAAACTAAAATACATCTTAGCGGCAAATACATTTTGGATTTTTATAGGTTGAGTTAATTCTGGGTTGCTGTACATAAGTACCCTTACACTAATATGACAAGACTACCCTTAAACTAATTAACAAATGCACAAACTAAATATATCTTAGCGGCAAATACATTTTGGATTTTTACAAGTTGAGTTAATTCTATTTTATTTTATCTTGCTACATCTGTTGTGGCCATGTAACCATATTTTCTTCACTTCTTTAAATCAGTCGTGGAAAGAGATTGTTAATAGACTTCTCAAGAATATTTAATTTAAGTAGTTTTGTGGGACTTAGGGAAAGGCTAACAATTATGTAAATTACATGCCCATTTGTTTTGTAGTGTTTATGTAATAATTTTTATTCGCATGGGCATCAGCTGCTTAGAATGCTGTTATTGTCTAGAAATTTTGATTGAAAGTTTTATGTTATTTAGTTGATTATAATCTAGATGGTCAAGTCTTTTTTTCTAATTCTAGGGAATCATTTGTGTGTAGCTATTGGGAAGAAGTGTCGATTTGAGAAGTTTAATTGCGCAACGGATGAATAAAGCATTTCGAAAGAACATTGCATTCCTATTTGATCGCTTCGATTCACAAGATATTTGTGCTGTGGTGGTAAGAAAATTATGTCTAATTTTCTTCTTGACAATTTTTATCTCATATTTCAATTGGATACTCACTTCATGATTTTTTATAGGAACTGCAACAACTCCTAGATGTTTTACGACTCACTCATCGCCTTCTTTCTGAATATCTCACTATAGACCCATTCACACCAATATTGATGGAGATGCAAGAAAATGTTTCCCTTGCTTCATTTTCTGGTCGATTGGCTTCTCAGGTTTGAGCTGTCTCTCAATTTTCTTTAACAACTAGAAATTCATAATTATTAATTTATCAGTTTGTGCAGTTTTTGTTCCTTAAAAAACCCCATCCTGAAAGTGAAAGTCATAACATACTATATGGAGCAAGCTGTTTGTGAACTACATGTTGGTCTTCACCAGACCGTGCTCAATGTTGGATGGTGTTGAAGTTTGTTCATTTTCCACCTTCTGCTCAAGCTGAGGACAGCTCATCTCCACCATCCATCATAGAAACAAAACTATGGAGACTAAATGTAGTGCAAAAAAGTATACTACATTTAGTGTGGTATCCAATCTGAATTGTTCCTAACTTTTTGGTAAATTGCCACTGGAACTGATATATATTTTTTGGAAAACTGCTTGTTTTGGAAATTTGGACTCGATGTGCGTCTTTGAGTACAGATACATACTTGCTTTTGTTTTTTAAAGTCCAACTTGATTTTTTTTTGAAGAATTCACCTTATATATCATCATCATTGTCATCCGAGCATTATCGCAACTATTTGGGGTTGATCACACAAAGCTTGTTATGTCTTTCCGCTTTATCAAAGGCCACCCTCCGTCGGACCATAGGTCATCATAGTTCTTCTTACTACTTCCATTAGTGTCCCTTTGGGCTTTTCCCTTGCCCCTTTGAAGCCTTCAACTTGAACCAAATTACCACTCCTAACCGGTGTTGTTCTGGGTTGACATTGTACCTGGACAACCTAAGTCTACTTTCCATCAATTGTTGCTGCGCATCGCTTCCAAGGAGCGCCCTAGCTAACCCTTACACATTTCTCACTACACTTGGGTTCTGATACAACACATCGCGTACAGGGTATGCCCTGGCATGCACATATAACATTGGATCATGATTCATGAAATAGATGAGGCAAAAGTTTTATGCCGGTTGCCAACCTAACACAACCCTTGTCCTTTCTCTGGTCTTGAGACTGGCCATGCTAGAGTTTATATGTACATATATGTATATAAAATGTACAATAGTCTCACGACTCATGAGTTTGAGGCAGCCCATGTAGTGTAGCCTTATACAAAAAGAATGGGGAAAGAAAAAGAAAAAAATAGAAAAATGGTGTGGCCACTCACATATAGAGTGCTCGGTACTAGAAGAAATAAGAAAAATGAGATGTATGGCCACCCGGAGGCTGGATGCGCAACACACTCAGGGAGGCAGCCCACAAACCTGGTGCTCACCCCAAAAACGACAAAAGAAGTCCATAACCTGTAGGCTACCCAGGGGAGGGGGCAGCAAGGAGAGGGGGAGGAGAAGAAGGGAGACGGATTTAGAGGTAGAAAGGGGGAAGGAGCAAGAAGAGAGGAACAGATTATGGGGATTAGCGAGAGAGGACACGAGAGAGGTGGACGAGAGAGGTAGAGGGAAAAGGCCCTTCGCAGGGGTGTAGGAAAGAAAGTGTAGGAAAAAAGAGAGAGAGAAAAGGAAAGTGAGGGAAAAAGAGAGAACGAAAAGTATAGGGGTATAGAAAGATAAAGCATAGAGCAAAAAGGCACAAAACTCAAAGTTCAGGGTAAAAGAGAAAGAACGAAAGGTGCAGGGGAATAGGAAGAGCATAGAGCAAAAGGACGCAAAACTCAAAAGTACAGGATACAAAAAACAAAAGTGGCATCGGCTTCACTAAAGCAGTGGGACAACACTAGCAGCAATGCCCAACTTGATATTTCCATTCAGATAAAGTGCTTGTCTGTGGAATAACCAGTTGTAGACTATCCTTATTTGATGTTCTATGTTTCCAGTTGACAAACATAATTTCATCATTTCTTCCTGTTTGCATCAACTTCATCTCTTGGGGGTCAAAAAGTAATCCCCTAGTTTCGGAAGCTCCAATGGAGAGGTTAAGAAGTTCTAATTTGGCATTGTAATGCCTTCTTGTTTACCAAAACTTTTTTGTAGTTAGCATTGCTCAAGTTTGGAAGAGTTGTTAGCCCCCTTTGAATTTCTTTTCTATTTCGGAAGTCACCTTAATTTTGGGATAGCATAGCAAAGGCAGCAGAGCCCTTCAGCCCATGCTATTTGTAGGAAGAAATCAACTTGCCTCTCCATAACATACCTTGTAGATATATGTGTACTGTTGCCAGCAATATCTTTAGAAAATTGAGTTTATTTTTGTTCTAGTGTCAGGTATTAAAGCATGTGGCGTGTTCAGTTTCTCGTTATGTATGTATTGAGGATTTCTTCTGGCAGTTTTGAGATGCACATATATTTGAACAGCGCTGTACCTATTCCAAGCCTCTTTCCCACTGGCACAGTCATAAAGAATGTCTCATATTACTTCCATCACTATTCCTCTTAGAAGATTACCAATTGATAAATTTTTAATCTTTTCCTTGTTGCCCAGCCAAGACATCTTTCCATCCTTTTCACATGTTCTATATTTTGTGTGTGTTTGGTAATAGTATTCTTCTTCGTGTGCTTTAATCTTTTATAGGAAAAGAGTATTGGTAGTTTATGCATGTAACCTTGCTGTAATAAAAAGCCATGCATTTTTACGTTTCCTTAAAATTTCTTAGTTCATTTTGTCATTTTATCATGACTTGAGAACAGAAAATATGCGTGCATCCATTCTTTGCATCTCATAAAGCATGATCAGTTGAAAGTTTCCATTACAACATCTAATCTCTGATGTTGTTCCCTGTTAGGTGTTCACAGAGATGCAGAATGACCTCTTGCCCAATTTTATTCTTTGTAATACAACTCAGCGGTTTGTTCGTTCCCCAAAAATGCTCCACCAACCCATTCAAAAGTCATCTGTCCCTCAGGGAAAGCCTAGTTTCTATTGTGGTTCTCAAGTAAGAAGCTCTCCATACATGTTTCTTTCTTTTCATCATGATTTTACTGGGTTCTTGGCATTATTAACTGCACTATGTTGAATCTCAGTTGTCTGAAGCATATATACGAGCAACACATTGTACTTATCGTTTTCAAGTTATAGGTTATGCGCATATTTTTATAATTTCTTTTAATGTCATACTTTGAGCAACTTATTAGGATATGAGTCTTTGCATATTTTTCTTATATGTTCTCTTTCACTTATAATATTCTTGTGAATCGCGTATCTTATCTCTTGGTAAATAACTGCATTGTTCAACCTAGGGTTCTAGGCTGTCGGGAAAAAAAATGAATAATATGGGCCTAGGAAGACATTCCTAGGCAGGTGCCTATGCGGTTGCCTAGGCAGGCTCAAGACGGGTGCCTAGGTGGGCCAAGGAGCCTGCCTATTACCACCCCTTAAAAAAAAAGATGTACGCTCCTTAAAAACAAAATATAGTTAAAGGTCTATACCAATGGTTAAGGTCTTTCTCTCACTCATGGGCCCTTATACTCTCTCTACATATAAGAAGATGAAGAAAAACAAGACGCCTCCAAGTGGTCGATGTGAGGCCTCTCTCTCTTACCCCTCACAAACGCACTCATAAACCCATATGCTGTGTCTAAATATAAGAAGAAAAAGAAAAAGATGACCTCCAAGTCTTCAATGTGAGGATCCCTCTTTGATGCAAGAAGGAAAGATGGGAAATTGATGTCACCTTTTTTTTCTTTCTAAACATTGTTTTTTCTATTGGAAAGCAATTCAAAGATGAGATATGAGCCGATGTAGTACCTAGGGATGCATGCAATTTATTATTGGGCAGACCATGGCAGTATGAACGGCGCACCATACCTAATGGTTTAACACACTTATTCCTTTATTAAAGACATGATAAGGTGGCTTTAGGTCCATTTAAGAAGGAAAGTACCTCCAAATAAGATGAGGGGTGTACTAACCTTCTTTCCTTGGTGGAGTTTATGGAGGGGTTGGAGGAGTACATGATGTTGTACGCAATGGTCCGAGTGTATGAGCAACCTGTTAGTTCGATTGCACCACAGTTAGAGTCATTGGTGATGGATTATCGTGATTTCATGCCGAATGAGCTTCCTAAGTGGTTTCCACCCATGAGGGACATTTAATATCACAACGACCTCATTCCTGGGTCTAGCCTACGGAACAAGGCCACATATAGAATGAGCCCAAAGGATGATGAAGGATTGCAGAGACAGGTCATAGAGCTTCTGTAGAACGGGTTCATTCGACAAAGCATGAGTCCATGCGCTATCCCGGATTGATTGACACCTAAAAAGGATGGGACTTGGTGCATGTGTGTGGACAACATGGCTATTAACAAGATCACGATCTACTGCTTACCTAATTTCACACCTTGATGATATGTTCGATATGTTGGCTGGTGCGTTTGTGTTATCAAAGATAGATTTGAGAACTCGGTACCATCAGATCCGTATTCAGCCATGAGATGAATGGAAGATGGCATTCAAAACACAAGAGAGCCTTTATGAGTGGTAGATGATGCCATTTAGCCTCTCCAATGCTCCCAATACTTTTATGAGGGGGATGAATCAGGTGTTTAAGCATTGTATTGATAGTTCTTGGTGGTCTACTTTGATGATATTCTAGGAGACAACATTGGCAGGCAGGTGGATATGGAGTAATTGTGGTTGGTGCTTGACTTGTTAGAGGGACAGCAGTTGTATTTGAATCTTAAAAGTTTGATTTCATGACAAACAACTTAAGTTTTCTTGGTTATGTTGTCTTGGCTAAGGGCATTAAAGTTGACCAAAAGAAAGTAGCTGTCATCCGGGATTGGGTTACTACTAGAATGCATGATGTTTGCAGTTTTCATGGGTTGGCTACTTTTTATTGGAGGTTTATTAGGTCATTCATTTCTAGCAAAGCACCTATTACATATTGTCGAAATAAGGGGGAGTAAAATATCACAATAAGTACATAATACCTAGTACATATTGTATGGACTGATGAGGCCGAGAAGATTTTCCAATTGGTGAAGAAAAGGATGATTGAGGTGCCTGTGTTGGCTCTTTCGGACATTGGTAATATCATCGAGCTAGACTGTGATGCTTCGCATGTCGGAATTGGTGCAGTATTAAGTCAAGGGGGCATCTTACTTCCTTCTTCAGTGACAAGTTAGATGACACCCGGCAGAGATATCCTACATATGGTGTGGAGTTTTATGTTGTTATTCCTGTTTAAGTTACTGCCATTATCTAATTCATAAGGATTGTTTTTTGTTCTCGGATCGTGAAGTGCTATAATATATTACTAGGCAAAATAAACCAACTGAATGAAATGCTCGATGAGTAACCTATTTGCAGGAGTTTACTTCAGGCATTCAACATAAGGCAGACGATTGAAACAGAGTGGTAGATGCTTTGAGTAGAAGATTGGCTTTGTTGACTACCATGGTAGCTACTATTACTGGTTTGAGTTTATGAAGGAACTCTATGCTGATGATTTTAGGAAATATGGGTTCAGTGACATGATGGAGTTCGTGGAGATTTCTTTATTCAAGTTTGTGAAAAAGGACACAAAGACTAGAGCCAATTTGCAAGCCAAAAAACAAGGCAAAATGGACACCTTCAACAAGCCACTTGCTAAAACCAAGCTAAGTGAATAAGTTACAATTTTTTTACATAACAATTACAACCATTTCTAGCCTTGTATAACCACTGTAAATAAACTCAAATACTAACCCCTTATGGGGCAATTACATATAAAGTAAGACTCTTATGAATTACACTTTCATAACACAAATTACATAAACTATGTCCCAAAGCTTAAATACATCATGCAACTACTCTAAACAAAATTATAAAGAATAAAATCAACTAAACAGGGAATTAGAATCCCAAATTAAAATAGGGAAGCCATGTTTCGGACCCCTTGTGCTGGGGCCACGCAATCAGGCCTTATAAGGACTTAATTTTGTCCTTTCGGATAGTACAAAAGTGGTTTAATCTCACAAGAGTGTCTAGTCCAAATGGGAAGAAATTACACACTTTAAAATCACTTCTTAAGATCTCAATACACTGGCATTATCATCCAAAATGGAATGCAAAAAGTTTGAATCGAATCGGATAAAGAACAAGAGAGTTATGGCCAAACTACACATGGTGGTCCCCAAAACTGTCTTGTACGGAAGATTATGAACCTCCATAGGTAAAAACGCGATGAAAAAGTTCTGAAATGGAGTGACACTCTGAGACTAAATTATTTGATGGGTTTGAAACAAAGTAATTAATGGATACTATGTATGATCATGGATTCTCATGTATATAGGCTATAACTCATGAAGGACCACACTATGAATAAAAATGATGAAAAAGATAATCAAATGGGGATTCTAAGATCAATGAAACTTTTCTAAATTCAAAACTCCAGCAACTATAGATGCCAATGATATGATCTTATGAGAAAAGAAAATTCAATGGAGTTTACCTTGATAAATGTACACTGTAGACTTAAGCATAAGAAAGGAGGACCACCATCAAGATCACTATTAATGGAACTCTAAAAGCTCTCTCACTTCAATTTTCTCTCACAAAACTTTAGAAGAAGTAGGGGAGCAACAATTTTTCAAAATGGTTTAAGAGTTGAGATTGTTAGGGTTTGAGATCTCATGATGTGTTTTTATAACATGGGTGTAACTTTGGATTCAATCAACACCCTCGATGCACTAATCCAAAGGCACTTGAGAGGCGAATGTACTTAACTACCCATCCCCATCTAACCACTAGGATGAAGGGATGGGATTTCACACCATTATCACTGACCCGAACCCTAAGTTATGCCACTTTACCATTTTGTCTTTGGCCCATGTTTTTGTTCCAATTGTATCCAATATGGCATTACAAAAATACCCTTAGTTTTTTTAATAATGTATTAGAGTAGATAATCACAAAGGCTAAAGGGCAAAGAATTAATTGGCAAAGCTCACACATGTGGATATATTCTTTTTTATCAAAGCCAATCACTTTGTAGATCTAAAATTTCAAACTAATCAATTTAAAGATAATGTCCCCTTCACAGTGTGTGAAGATATTTTTCAACTCAAATTTGAAAATGTATTTTCTCTTTAATATCAAATAAATAAATTAATTAAACTTCACACATGCCATGCATGATCCATGTGTGAGTTAATTAAGACGTATGATACATTGGGGGCCTTAATTTTATAACATTATATAACAAAATATAACAATATATAACAAGACACCAAAACACTACCCCTTTTTAAACAAGCAACCAAATGCCAATCTAGTCCCCCTGCCTAGGGATCAATGCGCCCTATGGCCACTCGGACGCCACATGGCACTTTCAGGTCAGGACTAAAGTAGAATTTGAGCCAAACAATATGAAAACCCTTATTTTTTTAGCGAATAAAATTCTGAAAGATTCTCTAAAATTCACAATAAATATTTAAAGTATTTTTGAGCAATTATTAGGTTTTTCTCATTATAAAATCGGAGAAAAGGTATAGTAAGATCTCAGGCTAATAACTATAGGTATTAGAGTACTCCATTGGGCTAGTCCCGAATGATGTTCTGTCGAGTCTCATATCGACCCAATTGACCTATGTTCTACAATCTAAAGCAGGGACACATAATTGGCCATATCAAAGCCGTTGAGCCAGAACTTCCGATCATTCGGCTCTGAATGGATTACAGGTGTACCTATGTGGGACATGATCCAACTCAATTGTAGGGGGTCTTCTCAAAGCACATGTGCACTGACTCTTCCAAACTCGAATAATGCATTTGGAAGAGTGGCTTCTCGTACGAAATGAAAATGCACATGCAATGCAATGGTCTCGTGTCAGAATACAAACTTGTGTCCCATAAGTCTTGACCATTCCATACAGGGCGAACACTCAATAAGTACTCGGGTTCTATTTTTCTCATTTGGATTCTCCAAGCCCTGGTCGATTGCAGCTAAACA